ATTCTCTTTAATAAAGATTTTTTTTTAGTAATTGTTGTCGACTAACGTAATAATTAAAAATAGAACCAATAATATTTTTTGTCAGTTTTCATTGTTAGATTAATAAACAGAAAATCATTTATCGATTATAATTAACCCTTTAGTAACTTATCTATATAGCTGAATCATCAATTGAAGGTTTGGGGTCTATCATTAAGGGATAATTAGAATTTTGAATGTCATGAAACATTAGCACTACAGAAGTTGCTGAACTCGATAGGAAAAGTACAGTGTTTCGTATTTTAGTAATTTGTTCATACTTATATAGAAGTCGGTAATAGGCCATGCACACCAGTGGTAGCTCGGTTATAAAAAATGTTTAGTAAAAAGGGAACTACTTTACTAAAAAAAGGATCACGTGTAGCGAGAACATGATCAGTGAAACATGATAGTCGAGTTTAAATAACTGATTTAACAACTCAAAATTTCAAAAAAACTGTACGTCTACATGATATGTATTTTTTAATAATATTAACATAACGTGGCTATAGTCTGATTATGGGAGAATTTGAAGATTCCCGTATTAGACGATTATTTTTGACTTGAGTTAGATGAAATATATCATAAAGTTACGTTTTTGAAGTATATAATTTAATTTTTTTTAACTCGAAGTAAAGTAAAATAATCATGAACAAAAGCCAGGCGTGAACGCAAATGGGTAGGGATTCAAGCACTCCTCCCAAAATATCAGAAAAAAATGTAATAAAAAAAATGACTTGATCTAAAAATTTAAATGTTATTTCAAACATTCCCATTAGACATACAAATTAAATACATAAACATATATTAAATATTATGTAATACTTAATAAAGTATGATATTTATCAACATTTTCAAATCTTTTGAAATTTTTTATTGCGTTCACTCCTGATAAAAATAATCAATCAGAAAAATTATTCGCTAGGATAAAAATAACAAGTAAGAATTTTTCTGTATATTTTCAGAGTGGAGAGAGAAAAACAATATCAGTTTTTAAAAATTACCAATAATATACTACCCAGAATTGATGCATCAGGATTTAAAATATTGTGCGTATTTTACGCTATTGTAATTAATACCACATAAGAAATTACAAAACTTTATAATAATAAATTTGTACACTTGATTGTTATTTTATCTTTACTTTTGTATAAATGCAAAAAAAAAAACATTTGTACTAAACAAAATTATAGCGTTAAAGTAACATTATTTTATATTTTTGTCGTAAACACTTGCAACTGTAGCTGTATTATTTATAGTTATTTTAGTTATTTTGAGATATTTTAAAGCAATACGATGACGAACACTGTATCGTTTATAACAAGAGGTAATTTCAACAATTGCAATCTATACATTACATTTCAGTGTTTTGTACACATATTTCTAGAATTCAACATTTACCTTACACTCCTTCATATTGTAATACTGTTATTTTACAACCATTTTTAAAATAAACAATGATATGTGAATCATAATGGATGCTTTCATTCGATTAATGTAAGTGGATAATATTTTGAAGTACAACATTACTAAAACCAGACTGAGGAGTATACAATGTGTTCACGCTAAGAGGTACCATTAAATATTTCGGTTCGATGACCTTGTATTGAAAGGGATTTTCACTAAATGATAGATAATACTTAAATATACATTTTTAGATATATTTCAAATTTTTAACACTTTCGAATCGCGCATACGCGACACAACTTACCTTTTTTTTAAAAAGTAACACCAGTTTTTTTTTTTACATTTTCAGATAGAGTATTTTTTTCTAAACAATTTATGTATAAAATTTTTTTTTCTTATTATAAAATTTGCATATGTAATTTAACGATGAACTTTAATATTTACGAGTGATTTGTTTTTGACGAAATTAATTAAGGTAAGTTGTATCACGCATGCGCAAATCGAAAGTGTTAAAAATTTGAAATTTCTAAAAGGTATTGGTACTTAAAACTTAAACTTTTTAAATTCTATGATGGCAATACTTCGTAAAAATAATGCGTGTTTGTAAGTTACTTATTATCATTAAGTAAAAATAAGGTTAATATACGTAATCGATATAATATTATTTACAATGGTACATTATGATTGACGGTTTCCTTAAAATTTAAGGAAACATTTAATGTTGTGTTGTATGGTCATGTGATAACGATCGAAAATAGTCAATCTATAGTCAATAGTGAATTATTTCAAAATAATGGTAATCAGGCCTGTATTTAGGGGGGTACGGGTAAGCACATGTCCACGGGCGTCAAGTCTCAGGGGTGGCAAAATATTTTAGCAAAATTAATTTTAAAAATGATGTATCTAATGAAAAAAAAATAAAACAATAAAAAAAAAGTAAAAAAATAGTATGTTTTATTATGTTATATTATGTTTTATTATAATTTATTTAATTTGTTAATTAAAAAAAAGTATCAAACGATTTTCATTTATAAGTTATATTTTAATATTAAGGAATCTTGACTATGGACGAAATAATAAGTGTTATATTATTATTATTTATTTTTTTTCTTTTTTTTTTGAGAGGGCATAAATAATATGCCCGGGGTGCCAAATTTTTAAATACGGGCCTGACGGTAATTATTCGTATTTTTTTAAAACCCTTCCCAAATTTTTTTTCTGCGTCCGCCCCTGGTGTAAACAATGTGTTATTCAAACAATACAAGTACTTGCGTAAATTTATTGCATGGAAATCGAATCGAAAATAATCAACTTTATTTTAATGTAAAATAATAATTTTAATTAATAATTTTTTAGAATGGATGATTTTAGAAATTTACCAAAAGTGTCAAACATAACAATTTACACATAAGATCTATATTCTTCTTTTGAGTATCAATTAAAAACCTTTTTGAAATAATGACTGTATTCGGTTACTGGAAAATGTCACGTTTGTTCTCATATTTTTAAGCATTTCAGCATTTTTTTTTTTTTTTTTTTTGCATTGAGTACTTTTACTTCATAATACAACTTTGTAATTATATTATTTTATTCATATTTAACTATATATAAATATATACACAGTTTTTATCGTTGTGTTATATATATATGCTAACTGTAAGCACATTTTATTTTGATTTTAGAAAACTGAATATAATCAAAAAAGTGGTTGTTTTATGGTAACCATAAAAAATATGTATAACTCATTAACCATTGGTTTGGTGAATTTTATATTTAATTGCAAATAGTAAATTAGTTTAATGCGTTTTAAGTCATTTTTTGTACAAAAATATATTGCTTTTATTATCAGTAAATATGTTGAAAACTTTTTATTGCGTTATTTATATTCCTTATTAAAAATTAGAAGATTGAGTTGTAACAGTCATAGGTTCTGCCCTGAAAAAATTAAGACTGAACTAATATAATTTACACTGTTATTTCAACCAAGAGATAAATAGAAACTATAATTAAATTGTCGGTTTTTCAGTACAAACAAATGTAAAATCTTAGTGCAATTTAATACTGTAGATATACCTATAGTTGTTTGATTTTGAAATTTGCTTTGATTTTATGGTTACAAATTCATTTTATACATGATATTTATCATCAATATAATATTTCATTTCTTATAGAATATAGGTATAATTCCAAAATTAAAATATTTAAAATATAACAAAACAATCGATATTTTTACCGCAAAACAGTTGATAGAATCAAAATGATTTTAAAAATTAAATAAGTTCAAATATATTATTTTGATAAGTATTACTGAACTTATTCAATTTATGTTTTTAGGCTTATAATCTTATTAATTATATATTAATTTAAAAATGATGGATGATGGATAGAAAAAAAAACCTAAATGTTGCCAATGTTTAGATAATGTTTTTGCTAAATAGATTTATTGATTTTTTTTGAAACTTAGAATCCTGTTTATCAATTGATATTAAGGAATTTAAAATTCAGTTAAATAAAAAAGATATTTTAAATTTGTCATATCCACAGAAGAAAACAAATTTTATTAACACTATTATTAAGAGTATTAGTATATTCACGTGAACAGGCATTAAGTAAATAGTATATACACAAACACACACACACACACAAACATTAATGGTCAAAACTCACACACTGATACCATTTTTTTAATGAACTTTACAAATAATATACTACGAGTATCATCAATAGGTGTCAAATACTGACTAAAATTGTAACCTTTCTGATATTTTTAAACCAAAATCAAGAACTGATACACTTATTATAGTTTTGAATTTAAATGGGTATCACAGGGATGCAAGACTAATATTAAACTATAAATTATAAATAAGATATCTTTTTTGTTAGTCATTTTGTTAATATATTTATTATAATTTCTTAGGTTATTATTTTTTTAATTTTTTTAATTTTTTATTTATAGCTACTAGTATAAAACTAAGACAGCTCAACGATTACAAATAGCGTTTACAACGAGTATAAGTTATAGGTATTTTATATTTTAAAGCCAGCATCGAAAATAAAAATTATTATATTATTATATATAAAATACGCCCTTGGTTGGTTGTTGCCGCGTAAGTAACATTTGTTAGTACATAATTTTTATATACGTTGGTTGTTGCCGCGTTTTGATTATAATAAAGGTTTTATAATTTAATGCAGTCCACTTTTTTGTTCTTGATATTTTATATCCGGCACCAGTTAAAGCATGGTTACCCCGACCAATTTTGGATTTGGTACCTCGCTCAAACAATAGTAATGTAAGTTGCTTAGTAATTTTACAACACTACATTTTATATGGATTCAAAACTTTTTGAATTCTTTAGTCATTGTTGATTCTATATCAATGTACTACAGTTTTATTTTAATTATTTTGTTCTGATTCATCCAATAATTTTCGCATATACGAATGTGATATTGTTATATTATGCATAAATATTTGTTGCATATGTTGTGAATAATAACGTTTAAAGCAAAAACTTCAAATGACATTTTTAATAACAATATTAAAATAATATGTGTCATCTAAGTGTGAAACTTACCGATTTGTAATTCAAATTCGTCCTTGTCAAAATTCGAGAAACATTTTTTTGAAGTAATAATTGTTTAATGGTGAACTCAGATTATCTGTACCAACGAAATCTAAAAAAAAAAAAAAAATGATATTATTATTTTTTTTTATTCGGAATTCAATTTAAAAAAAAAAAATAAAAAAATAATAATAATACTTTTGAATTCAATTCGATTTTAAATATAACATTTTCGGTTAAGACAAAGTAAAAATATAATGTATACATAATAAAATAAGCCAAATAAAGTTCATTCATTAGCATACATTTGCATTTAGTGTCATATTCAAATAGTTTAAATAGAGCCTTTGAATAATTTGCGGGCGGTTTGTATTTAAAGAGTGAACAAGTTTCATCGCACTCGATATCCAAAACGTAATTAAATCAAACCTTTTGGCGATTAATTGCAGTGGATAACGACTATTTAACTTGATGATAGACATGTGCATTATGTTAATTACTGTGCACACCACGATATTATAGTACTTGTAAATAAATATATAATTGCGTTGGTTCAAATGACACACAAATAAACGAATTTCACTAAAATACTTTGCGCAGGTTTCAATGGATTACAAACGGCTTGGAATTTAGTGAACACGCGCAATCAGCCGTTAACGCTATGACGTATAACTGTAGTCTATAATGTGAATGCGATGTATTCTGCAGCGAAGCAAATTACAATATATTGTTGTACTAGGTACTAATCAGCTAATTAGCCCAGTGAAATGAAGGATTGACTACGTGGTTATTCATATTGATAATCATTACCGCAGAGCATACAGCATATTATTTAATGTACCTTTAATTACACTACATATTCTGTAATAATCCATTGGGTGGTATTACTGCAATAATTATACTCTGAATCTTGCTGGCATTTTTTTTAGCAAGTTATTTTCACTTCGTTTACTGTATGGGTTTTAGTTTTAAAAATTGTTGTTATTTATTGGTCTTTAATTTTTATACATTTTAAAATGTATTAAGGATCAAAAAACAGGAAAAATTTTTATTTATCTTTTTATTTTTTAGGTCAAATCGGTTTGTTTAATACTACATCTTATCATTAAACATAAAAATAATGTAAGCAAATTATTCAAAATATTTTATTCTTTTTTTTTTTTCCATATTTTCATCCTTATTGTATACTGTTTTTTTCGTATGCTTAAAGTTTTTTTTTTTTTGTATCAATGAAAATTCAAAGAACTTATACAGTTTAAGAAATAAAATATACTTTAAAGAAAAAATTTAGTCTAAATGAAATGTTTTACTTGACATTTATTTTGTGATGATTGAATAATTGCACTCCTGATATAAATTTTTATTACGTATAAATTACTTATTTTAATTTAAATTTTTCTTTAAGAGATTATTTTTGCAAATTATACAATATAATATAACATATTGACACATTATTTTACCATGTTGAATTAGATTTTATATAACTAATTAATGTAATTTTACGCATTATACATATAAAAACGGGCTATAATAATTTAATATTCACTATATAAGAATGTATTAATATTATTTTACTGATTATTTTGGTATCCATGAACTGAAACAAATTGATTACTCAAAGTAAAATAAGAATAAAGCACTGACATTATTGATTACCAATAAATATTTAATGTCGACTGAAGTTGAAGTGATGAGCTCAAATCAATTGTATGGTGTGAACAAATATTAATAGAAAACACAATAGGGTGTAGCTTTTCTTATAAAAATGTTATTAATTTCCGATGTTTAAAAATATTACCAGGACGAGATATTAAGCATAATAAATATTATGATAAAATATAACGTGTATCATAATATTTTTTTAACGCTTATAATGGTGTTTTTCTCTCTATTTAATAATGATGTGTGCGCGAGAGCACGGAATAAACCGGAATAAGTATCATTGAAATGATCTGAATAGAAAAAAAAGCCGGAAATACATAGAGTCCATTGGATTTCCCCCTTGATGATTTTATTGTATAAATAATATAAATTTGATATCAAATTTCATGATACATGGACCCCCCAACGATTTTAGAACTTTCATGATACTTTTAAAATAGTTCGGAGCCAAATTTAGAGCAAATTTTATAAATTCTGGGTCATAAATATCTTATCATTTATATGAATAATTCCAATATAAATGTATCATGTACTCGTACATAAGAGATACTGAAATATAACTTTATTATAATTATAAAAATCAATAATTTGAAGCCTAATTACTTTATTTTTGAGTAATTAATTAATACACGGTTGTTAGTTTATTGATAAAGCACACACGGACGAGTGTATGTGTGTGTGTCTTATAAATAAAACAAGCATTAACAACAAGTCGGTAAATAATTTTTTTCACATTAAATGTATAATTAACAACGGTCTACATATTTTTTTATTCTTATGTTTGAGGTTTGATTAGTGTTTAAATATAAATCATTTTAATGTCTTACTGAAATATGTATATTAAAGATATTCACAAAAATCATTAATGTACAACATTAAGATAAATAATGTGTTAGAGACTTACTTTGATGAAAAATTCGTTTATGAATATTATTGATATTAGAATATTTGCAATACTTTACATTATATTCTATATTTATTTATTTTTATGTTTACATCTAAGTTTTCTAATAATAATAAATTACTGTATTTTTAAAATTATTTACTTTCTTGTAATTGTAATAAAAAATATTTGAACATTGAACAAACTAAGCATGCGGTTATGTATTATTTAATATAAAATTGTATTTAAAAATTTAGATACGTATGATATATTAATATTTTAACAAATAACATTTTATGCATTTAAAATAAAAATTACAACCATATTTCATTTTTATTATTATTCTAATATCATAAAAATAATATTTTATAATTGGGAATATTGTAAGTGTAGTCAATTAAAGGAACGGGTAAATTATTTCATGTACATCAAGGGAAGTGGCAAGTTTTGCATATAAAAGACAATGATGGTATTCTAATTTCCTTAGTTTAAAGCTTAACAGTTTTCAACTCAATTTTCAACCAAGTATCGTATTCAAATATAAAATTATTGATTTTAATTCATTTTTGAAAAATAGTTTTCTATTATTATTGCTCAAATAGTTGGTCAATGAATAGAAATTTTTAAATCGTAATATATTGGTAAGTAATAACTCAATGCATGTCGATTTATAACTTATGTATCGTACATTTAATAAAATTGGTATTATAGTCATACTACCTGGTATATTTAAAAATTACCATTGTTCATCAAAAATGTTAATTTTAATTAATTTAATCCATTAGGCATACAAACATATTAAAGTGCTGTAATAAGTAAATACGTAACAATTTAGACAATTATAAACAAATCTATAAGATTATATGCTATAAAATATATGAAAATATAACCATGATAAAATGACACTTATGAAAAAATGCATAATCATAAATATTTGTCGTTGGGAATTTGTAACAGAGCAAATTGATGTAGTTTCAAAACGGTATTTTTAGTAACACCATAACGATAAAATTATATTGTAAAGTAACAAAATAATTTAACGGAAGAAGCTCCATTTACAGAATAATCTTTATATAAATACAATTATACATTGGGTATGAATAACATTAAAAACTTATGCTAGTGAATGACATTAAAATTCATATTTAAAATACAATAAAACTGCTTATAAAAATACATATACAAGACATATAGTAACATAATTTTAAATTACTTTATAAATAACTAAAATAAATTGAATTCTGTAGTATTTCCTACGGTCATCAATATATTTGCAGGCGAATAACGTAAATAATTTTTTTGAAATATTATTAATTAAAAAACAATTTTGATTTCTAGTAGATTTTATATTAATTCGAAATTTTAATTTTGCTAATAAATATGGACTGTCTATGGAATTGTTTAATAATTTTTATAAAAATGTAAGGCGGAGGTGATTTCTTCTTTTATTTAATGTTTCTAGATCAAAGTTAATAAACCATTGTACTCGGTATGTCACCGTTATACTTTGAATTTGAAAGAGAGATAACGGTGAAAACGGTTTTGGACTGCTTGGAGATTATTGGTAGTATACATTTTATTACTGAACCAAAATAAAAGAGGCGTACTCTAATTGTGATCTCACAAATGCAAAATATAGAATTCTCAAAGAACCGTATAAGTTAAAATTTGAAAATGTACGTGATATGAAGCCTAAATTGAAGAATGCTTTATTTGTTATTTTTTCAATGTAACTGTTGAAATTTAGTTTAGATTCAAAAGTAATACCTAAGTCGACAAATTAATTAACAGATTCTATAGAGACGTTATTTAGTTTATAATCATAGTTAATACTAAATTTTTTAATATTGAATGTTAATACTTTGTATTTGCTGATATTAAAATATAAACCATTTAAATTACACCAATTATTGTTATTTGTTAAGTCTCCTTGTAAATTTATGCTATCATCGATTGAGTTTATTTTTTTAAATATTTTAGCATCATCAGCAATAAAATATTTGAGTGTTTTTTCGAATTTATTACCAAATGATTTTAAGATATTGTTTTGATCATATGATGCATTTATTAATTTAGATGGAGTAGCCTTAATTTCATTTATAAAGTTTAAAATATTGTCTAGTTTGGCTTCCATTGGTTACTATGCAATTTAACTGTATAATAATACTTTACTTTACCACTGATGCATCAAAATAAACGCAACTAAAACCACAGCCGTCTTGTTCGGACGTAAATATACAACTAACATTCTTTCTTTACTTATTGACCTCCGTTTCGTTTTTCATGTACCGCTACTGTTTTGTGGATGTTGGGTTGTACTCCTGTATATCCGTCAACATCGTGATTTTTGGATTTCTATCGATTTTTTTCGATTTTTTTTCTTATCGATATACGTACCAATAAAAATTATTATCGATACTAAAATTACAGTATTTATTCTGCCACACCTTGGACCACGTTATCCAGTCCGTCATGCAATCGTCCGTTAATCTTCCGAGTGACTGACATTGTTCCCAGGATGATTTTAATTCGCAGAAGCCACTGAGAACGCCGCAGTTTCGTACGTTTCATCCTCGTCACTGAACGCGGACAAAATGAAATTCGTCTTATTCTCCTGCACCCACCAACCCCGCTACCATTTTTCAATATCCGGACGGTTTTATTTTTTATTTTTTCTATCGCTGTCGCTTATTATCGTTTCACCGTGTTTCGTTCCGTCGCGGAGGGAAAAATATAATACTTTTCTCCCACCCGTCCTGCTCTCTATTATTGTTTTATTTTACATCCCAAGACAAATGAAAAGAAATCTCCTCCTCCCTCTCACGGCTGGCTATCATTAGTTTCGGACTCTTTTCTGAGTGTGGACGTCATGCGGCCAAACGACACGTCCATTAACACGTTACAACTCTACCAGTCGGTGTGTGTGTACAACGCAAAAGGCGTTTCTTGTCGACACACCGTCGCCGACAACTACGAAACGGTGCGACATAGTTTTTGTTTTTGTTGTTTCTTGCCATCACCGACCTGACGCAGCAATTAATTTTTCGACACAAACACCCGACAACTGACAACAGATTAAACACTTTCACTCGGGCGCGTAGGGCCGAATGGACGAACGCCAATGATTCGAAGGCGAGTAGATGAATTGTTTAGATATAGTTGTTCGTATACATCAGTACGTATCCCTATCCAATCGTCGTAAATAATTTCATATATTTTAAAAGAGCTAATAGAATTCCTTTTGTAGTTGTTGTATGCATTATTTTTAGTATAAGCCAAATTGGTATCCTTAATAATATTAAAACGGCTCCGACCATGCGTCAACTCGTAAAGTGTATGTGTGCGTGCATGTTCGTGATAGCCAAGAGAAATTTCAATTTTTAATGTCTCGACACTGCAGGATACTGATGTTATGGAGACACGTTTTAGATTTAAAATTTTTATATTAGTATATATTTAAAAGCAATTTAAATACTGAAACGCAAAACTGCGCTGTAATGGTGTCAAATATTCTATATTATATATTTTATATTAAAATAGTTTTAACAAATCGATAAAAAAAATGATAATGTTTAAAACATGGAGATTAGTATAAGTTATCAAAATATTATTTTTCATTAAAAACGTTTATGTCAATTGAAAATCATTAAGGTTCATTTTAGTGAAACATTAAATTGAGTTAAATTATTGGGATAGAATAAAATATCATTTGAAAGAACAGTAATTTTGGCTGTTGCGTACACCAACTGACTGCACATTTTTTCGGGTCGTCGAAACTGCCATCGTATGATAACTTATTCGATTAAAATTGTTAAATACCAGAATAATAATGGGTTAAAAGAAACGAGAAAAGAAAATATAAAAGAATAAAACAATTTTTTTCTTCACGGGCTGTAATTAACATGGATGAAAAGAGATGAATTACGTTGTATTTTATGGTAAGAAAGAATTACTCAAATAAATTCTTGTTTTCAAATCATACTACAACGTACCACATATATATATAAATTTATTACTTCTATGGTAACGTAATATAAAATACATTAAATCTATTTAAAAATAACAAGACTTTAAATATTTATATTTCTTTCAAATGGTTTTAACTATTCTTTTAATATTTCACATGGAATTCAAATACGATTGAATTTTTATTGAATATGATCTATAATCAATTAACTAAAAAAGTTTAGTATATTTATTTTTTTTTTTTTTAAATCGTGTCATTTAAATTTTCACAAATATTTTATCCACGATTATTAATAATATACATAAGGATCATATTTATCAAATTTAATATTCCTATTATTTATTTCGAAATAAATTTTTATAATTTAAATGCAACTGGGATTAAGCTAACTAATCGATCATAATTTATTCCAAGTAAGTGAAAATAGTTTCTTATTATATTTAGCTACTATTTTTTCTTTAAATTCTCAGATTTACCCTAATATTTATGTTTAGGGTTTATAAAGCTTGCCTCGTTTTTAAAGAGCATCAATTTTCCACAAGACAAAAAGCTGGGTAATTAATCAAGGCAAATTGTCTTTGGTTTATAGGATTCACGGTTAATAAGAACTCCGTTTACCGTTGATGGTGGACATTTTCTTATTTTTCTATTTACTTTTTCTTTTGTTTTCATTTCCAAGATACTCACACAGACAGACGTTTCTCCTATCATTAATTTTTTTTCTATATACTTATTTTCCTTTCTTTCACATACGTAGTAATATATAAATATATTTATTTATTTATACCCAGCAAGCATTTTAGCTCAATAATTTTTAATTTATATAACAAAAAGTTTAAAAATCTACTGTAATCATGCTTCTAAGAATTTAAAATTGATTATAACAAAAATATTTATAAAAACTGAAAAATGTGCATTGTTTCAAATTCCATTTTCGTTAAGTAGCTGTATTTTTTCCAACAAAATTTATAAATTTCAGCAAAAATGTTGTTTTTTTGTGTTTTAATTAATTTCTTAAAACTAGTAATACTCATAAAACTGTTATTGCCGCAAAAATCTAAGGTGCGCGTGAAGCCAAGGTTTTTATTGGTAGACCATCAACATTAAATAATCAATGATGGTTAAAATCTGAAATCTGTTAACTTCGTGTTGCAGAACAAAGTTTATTGACATTGAGCTTTTAATGTTTAATATAAGTAATTGTAACTATTTAAGAACAAATTTAAATGCTTTTTTCATTTTACCTACTTTTTAATTGTCAAAATTAATTTTATATTTACTAATTTAAAATTGTAATGTTACGTTTATCTAAGTATTACTAGACATGTTTGTATCATTTATGAGTGAAAAAATATTAAAAATAAAATAGTTAATCTTTCAAAAAAAAAAAATTGTGATGAATGACGAATAACTTGTTTGAATTTTAAAAAGTATTTGATTTTCAAATATAAATATGTCCACACAGATTTAAAATACTTAATTCAAAAACTATTTAAAAAGTACTTTAAATAATATAAAATTATTTAAATCCATTTATTCAAATACTTTACAAGACTGTAATAATACACATTTCTGATTATAAAAACTGATAGGTATAATCTTCTTTAATTTACGAATTATTACATTTTTTTATTTCTAAATTTGATCCAATTTATGATTAGTTATGATTATTAGTAGTTGGTATCATATACTATTAAATAGTGTAATATAATATTATTTAAGCATAATTTAAAACACATTTCAGACACATTACTATATCCTCAAACAAATTCAAATACAACCCATAACATGCCCTTAACATGGCCGAATTGCAATCCCAAAAAGAAGCTCGACTTTGATAAATATCTTAAAAATTCCAGTAAGTCAATTATTATTTTGTTGTATGTATTATATTTTCCTTAGTTTTAGTGACAAAAACCTATGTTTATTCTAATGTTAAGATATTTGTATTATAGTTAGTAATTTATCATAAACTGTACTACATAGTACATATGTAATGTATAAATTATTCCAGCCTGTATAATAAATAAATATAAAATAAATACAAATATGTATTACAATATTCGATTGTGTGATTGAATATTAATAAAAATTAAATTATAGATTTTAATTTCAGGTCAAAATAATCAAATACCTGATGATTACCAAACGACTACTGTAATACATACATTATCCTCTCCATTTAAAGTTACTAGTGTCATAAATAATGCCACAAGTAGTACACCACAACAATCAAATGATAACACTGGTTTGTTTATAATATTATGTAGTTTTTCTATTTCATTAATTTATTATTTGTCTATTATTTTTTAGAAATTCTTGGCAAACTAAACCGAAACATATTAAACATAAAATATGATATGAAATCTTTGAATGAAAAAATCGATAAGCTGGAAGATCTAATTCATCTGTATGCACTAATGAAGATAACAATAACCATGATCAAGATTCATTTCAATATATTATCAACAACAATTAACCTTTGAAAAACGAAAATTCTCTTCAAAGATAAACTTTTAGACCAAGGGATTTAGGACTCAAATGGTAAAAATGTAGATTCTAATTTAAAAAAAAAAAAAATAGTATTCAACTGTTATTCTTTAAAACTCAAATTATTCTAAAACAAGTTAATAACTTTTTTAGGTTAATGAACTTAGTCGATATGTCCGTAATACTCTTCCAAGCACCATAAGATCAATAATGCGTTATCTTTTCAAATATGGTTTGTTACAAACATACAGCTATAAAGGGCAAAAGAAGAAGAAAATATTTTCAACATTAACAACGTGTTCCATTATATTTGGAAAAAAAAAAATTTACTTTACTTTATTTAAAATAAATATATTAACATCAATAATGCTTATGTTTTTAGATTCTGTAAAAAAAATGAAGAGATACTAGAAGTATGATAAAATCGATGTAGAACAACCAATCAAAATTTTCATTGCTGGTGCTAAGTTTAGAAGAAACAAGCCTTGTCAAGAACAATCATCAGATATTTAATAATTTATGATTTAATAAAATAAAACTGAATTATAACAATGGTGGTACTCATGTTTGTAAATAAAAAATATATTTGTTTTTGTAAGGAACTCACAGAATGAATAATAAAGAGGTTTTAAAAGAAAAAATAATTTCTTAGTTGTTACTTGTTTGGTATCCTACAATTACTTTTAACTATAGCTATTAATTTCTTATTGAACAAAAACTAATATAATAATATCATAAATGTTTATTTATAAATATTTTTTTTTAATGAAAAATTAATATGATATTATGAAGGTTAAAAAATATTTGACTAACAATAGTAAAATATTATTTATATATTGACCAAAATAAATTATTAATAAAATAATTTTAAATTCTTTTGAATTAAATATTTGATAAATAATCTTATAATAATGTCACATAATAATGTTATTATATTATTATTAAATTAAGTTTATAAATATTACATAAATATTAATAATATAATGTAACTTCAGTGACCAACCATTATTTTATTGACATTATTATAAAATTTTTGTAACTAATTTAATGGATGAAAAAAATATTAATTTAATTATGTACAGTACACACAAAATATTTATATAATATCAAATAAATATTTTTTTGCTATCTGGGTACATTATAAAATTATAAAGATAAGTTCGATAAAAAATGTTATCACTTATATATTACATTAAACAATTTAAAATATATTATGCTCATGACAGCCCTCATAATTATGGTTGTTTGTTCTACACAACCTGTATAAAGGTAATTATTTTCTCATTAAAAGCTTTTCATTAGCTTTTTAAAGAACTATCAATATTACTCTATATGAATGTTTACTCAATATTTGAGTTGTAACATAAGTTATGTAGTAGATTTGTTATATCGAAACCTCAAGGGATATAAAAAATGTTTGTGGTATCAATTTTTATAAAAAAAAAAAAACTATAACATATTGACTGTATTGAGTCTCTAAGGTATTACTATTTCATTCGAATTAAAAAAAAAAAAAATTAAAAAAGTCGACGTTCGGAATAATAAAAACCTACTTTTCATAATTGATTATCGAATTATGACTTTTTTTTAAAAAAACTTTTTCTTTGGCCGCCATTGGGCTCATGTTAGATTTAATGCCCGGTAACCATTAAACAAATAGAAAGTTATTTTTTAATGAACAATGGCATTATGTTACAAACACAAACGTTGAATTATGTTCAAATGTTAACATCAACATTATGATATTTTAAATATTTTATGTTTGAATTTTACATCTAGTGCCGTTGCATATACTGAAAGTTATTTAATCAATGAACAGACTACGATAAATTAAATAATATATAACTTTCGTCTTTTATCTAATTGACTTATTTAAAAACCAAATTATACACTTATGGAATTTAAATTTTTCACAAAGGGACGGATTCATTTTCAACTACGAAATATTAAAATGAAAATTTAAAATAAGGTAAAATAAAAATACTTAATTATTTTTCTTCATTTTCATAGAATCATATAAAACGATTAATTTTAACCCAAAACATGTTTGAAAGAAATTTGATAAGAAATGGAAGAAAATTGGAAACTCTATTTAATATTTCATTTCATTAAATATAATAAAATATAATAAATTCTGGATGTAATTTTTTAATTTTTATTTCAATTGTTACCTAATTTAAATCATACATGGTAATCTTTAATTGATAAGCCCTATATGAAAGTTATTTCATTTGTTGTTTATTTTCAGTATTTATGTTTTATTTGTTTAATAGTTTTACAAAACGTAAACGTTTTATTTTATACTTACGTTTTAAATCCGTATATATTACTTATTTATTTATCATTAATTTATATAAAAACCTTACTTTATAAAATCAAATTTGAAATTTCATATAATAAATTGTGGGTTTTTAATCAACAGTAAAATTGTGATTAATAAATGATGTAGTAACTAAATGGATATCATAATTATGGTAAGTGCTAAATTTAACCATTTTTATATTAAATAACATTTATGTTCATTTTCGAATAAATAAACAAGAATTTAAATGAAAATTAATATACAATGATAATCATCAAATTTACCTCACTCAATTAGGTATTTGTATACATTTTATGACATATAACACTTAATTTATAGTTTTATAATTTTATATAAAGATTTTACAAAACACTTGTTAACAATAACCGTAAAAATTATTATTTACCATAGATAACTATATGAACTGTACAATTTAATACAGAAGGTTCAATTACCAACTATAAAATGATGAAAGTATAAATAACTATGTCGAACTTTCAACTCAAAATAATTGTTCTTTATAACATACTATAATGATGTAAAATAAGTTGTAAATAAATGAATTAGGAATTGGTTGTTGGACTTAATCATAAAAGAAAATATTCTGAATTCAAATATTCATAAAAATTACATTTTTATTAATATTTTAACGAATGTGTAAAGGTTATTAAACGCTTGATAGTATGTTATCTAAATAAAAAATAAAATAATTATTGTGTTTTAGTTCATTACCGTTAGCAAACATTTGAATAAATATTATCATTAAAAATGAATTTTACATTTTTATTTTTCATAAAAAATTATTTCTAATACCTTTTAATATAATGTATAATAATCTATAATCATTTAAATATTTTGGTATTTATTAAAAGTGTTTTTGAGAAAATTAATTTTTTTTTTTTGTATCATTACATTTTTTTCTGTATGATCATCTAGATATTGATCATACACGTTTTAACGTAGTTGAATTTTACATTAATTTTAAGCTATGTCTTTAGTGATTATAAATTTGTTTTTTTTTTTCTTTCATTATCAGTTGAATAATTTTAAATTATAGCCATGTTTATATGTAAACGTGTATGTAAATGTTTCTATGATATACAAATATAAAATTACAGACAATTCGATAATACAGTATTTTCGTTGTTAAATATTAGACTAATAGGTTATCTTATATTATTTGTATAATTTTATAAATGTTAAGTCAGAAAATAATTTTCATATGAACAGTTTTGGAAGAACTACTGTCAGACAGACAACTCCAACTGAATTTATTTACTAGTTTAATTAGTGTAAAAAAAAAAAAAATTAATATGATATGTCGACTTATTTTTTTCATGATTTTCTATGAATTGCCATATTTAAGTACTTCAACAGTAAAGGACAGTAATGCTTACGAGTAATTATGAAACAAACTGAATTAATTTATTAGGATTATTATAGTAAAACTACACATTGTTTTTAGTGTATATCTGATAAGACAAGAATCACCATTGGAATATTTTATGATTGAAAATGCAAATACAAATATAAACAAACATAAACTAACAAACGAAAATATTACGCTGTTTAAGCACTTAGATGTAAGTTTTATACTAAGCTCGTATACTTTTTAGCGAATAAAATATGAAAATAGGTTAATTCGAAAAATATATGTATAAGTTATACTGTATAATTTAATATTTGGTTTGCCAAGTCGCATTTTCATCACATACTTAACTTATACTTTTATTTTTTTCTCTGGAGTTTTTCTTTTTACTTGGTTTTTAAATTTAAGATCAATCTTCTAAATAATATTATGTTAGTTACTTATCATTTATTATTATTGAACAAAGACGTAAATTCAAAACTCCTGTGGTTTACTTAATGTTCAAAAATGTATTTGTGTAATATTTACATGATTTATTTCATCTTGGCTAAAGTTTTTTTTTCTTTAGAGATTTATATAACAATTTTATTAATATCTTAAATTATTATTTTATTTATTGTTATTATTATTTTTTTTTATAGATTAAAAATCATATGTTTGAAAACATTTCATTCGATAGGTAATAAATTCAGTTAAGATTTACTATTAGTGTTTTAAATAATCGGGTTTTTAACCTACCATTTATAAAAAATGTAATGATGTCACAGAAAATCAATCTTTAAATGTATGCTTTTTATACCGGCCTTTAACGGCAAAGCTGATTAGTTGTAACTATAAGTGTGCTTAGAAATGTATAAATGTAAAATATAGCTAAACGAAAATTCTTAATTGTTATAATATAATTTGTTCGTTCATAATACATGAATACATTTTGTAAATATTGTTAGAGTGAATACTATGCTGAGATATTAGTAGGAAAGCCTGGACAAAAGTTCCGTGTAATTTTTGAGACGGCGTGGGGTGATATGTGGATACCATCAAAATTGTGTTCAAAAACATTATCTCCACTGTGTAGTAAGTCTAAGTCTAATTATGATATGTTAAAAAATGTGTATTATTTATATATGTACAACGAGAAATCCATTTGAATGACTACATTAATTTCTACGGTAATTTATTTGTTGTTTTTTGAAAGTGTTTCTTTTATTGATTTGAAATAATTATTTACGAATTTATAAGTATATAAACAATATTTCATTTTTTTTTTTCAAGTATTTGTTTGTAAAGGTTACACTTTAAACTATTGTCCATAATTAACGGTTGGAATATAAGAAACGTTCCAAACCACCGAAAATTTCAATGGATGTAAAATTATAATATGTTAATTTGGCAAATAATTCACTTTAAATAGTATTAAATTTGTTGTTGTTCATTGAAATTATGACAGCATTAAATAAAAAAATGAGACTATTATTATTATTTTTGATTTTTGACTGCTAAATGAATAACAAATAAATATAAATAATTAAAATAAATATAGAAATTAAAATAGGTTATGTTACAGTCAAATTAATTGTTTGGGTTATGTTTACACATTTTAGATGAAAAATATAATTCTTATATAATATAAACATGATTTCATCCATAAAAATAATGAAAATAAAATAATAATAAAACTCAAAACCTTGCAAAGAAAATAAATGTAACAATTGTAATGGGCCACCTTGTACATACTATAAATACTATGTATATGTTGTAAATATAAATATGTAAAATGTATATATATATATATATATATATATAATTAATAATAAATTATTAGTTGTATATATAATATAACATAATATTTAAATTTAATTTTTCCAAAAGTATCGAAAAACCTGTACGATTCAAATATTTCTTCGACACACAAGTCAATCGATCCGGCTCCGTATGAAGCAATGGGACTAAGTGGAAACTTAACATGCGACACGGTTAGGGTGAGTAATAATAAAAAAATGATTTACTATCCATTTAATTGTTCGACATAAACTAAGAATCGTTAAAAAGATCTAAGATAAATTGTACCGTGCAATAGTGATTTAAGTGAAATCGATATATGGATAACTGTTCATTATTTTATTTTTTATTTTATACAAATTATTTCACTTCTTTTCATACTATAGTTAATTATTATGAATTGAGCTATGTTAACTCGATAATTTAAAAAAAAAACTGTCTATAAATTTTATCAAGTAGTAGATTTATTAAATACGAAGATCTTCTTAATAGCATGACAGCAAGATTGGTGACAGGATGTATTCCTCTTATCATATAGTTAAGTAGTTGAACCACGTCAAAAGCTGATGGTTTTGAAATGAGAAACCGCATGAAAATCTTATTAGAAATTATAATTTGCGCTTTTGACTCGCGCAGTATATAATATGCTTAATGAGAGTAAGTCCGTACCTGCTACAAGAGTACAATTTTAATTAAATTATCTTATTATTTGACTTTGGTTATAATAATTTCTTTTTTAATACATAGGTTTATGCAAAAACGTATAACTACATTAACATTTTAGAACGTTGAGACTAAACACGTTTTAATTAGCTTCAATGAACTTGTTAGATAAAAAATAAGACTTTTATGTAACACCATTCGATATAATTATCACTAACTTATATGTTTTCACGAACAAATTATTTTTTAATTATAATTATAGATTTAGTGAGAGAAAAAATACTTAAACATAAGCTAATTAACGGCAGGGGAAGAAGGGTAGATGTAGTTTATGACGATATTATAAGAATATTATACTAAAACAACACTAATAATAAGTAAGAGTTTGTTTATTCAGCTAGCTCATATGAACGTGTCCGACTTGGTATTTGCTGAGATTAAAGAGATTCCTAATACCGAGGAATTCCAAAACATGTATGCCGATGGAATAATCGGTTTAGGATACCAAAGTCTATCTAAAATCGATTCGGATCCATTTTTTTACAAGCTTCTCGGTGACAAAAAGATTTTAAACCCGATTTTTTCGGTATACTTGAACCGGTGAGTATGTAGGTAACATTATCAAAGATGTGAATTTAAAAACGGAAATAACATATTTCTGAGTGTCTAGTGAAATATTTATATTATACCTATATGTGATTTACATTTTAACAATTATATGATGTCACAATAGAATAAATATCTTGCAGATGTATCATTAACGTTTAATGTTCCCAAGTACTTTAAACACATCGCAAATGTGGGTGTGTTAATATATTTCAAATATAATTTAAGTGATGAATAATATTCTTCTGAATATTTATCACTCCCGAAATACAAATAATCTATACAGATATAAAAATACAGAAAACCATCTATAAAAATATGGTGATTTAAGCATTTTGCGTAAATTTATATAAAAATTATATTTTGAGTTACGAAGAAAACAAAAATTCAATTTAGTCGAAACAGACATTAAGCTGTATTTTTATAATTGTTCATCAGTTTTTTAAAACTATTAAGAAAACTGTTAAAAAATTAATAAACCATTTAATATCCGTATAAATAATTGAAATAATTCATTTGAAAATACTTACTTATCAAAATTTTTCTCACAAATATTTTAGAATATAATATATTCTAGACTATATTTTGGTCTCAAATAAATAAATAGTGCGCGACGAAATAATATGCGATCATTAGTGATGGAGGCTCAAACTCGATTGCAGTTTTAAGACTTTTGAACTTTTTTCTGTTTTTCTTAATTGTTTGGATATTTTTAAGAAATTCAAAAAATTTTCTCTCTCCAAAGTACCAACTAGAACTAATCTCAACTCTTTGAATTTTTATTTCGTGATGAACAAATTTCTCACAGTTTGGTTGAAATCGTATACACGGACGCAAATAAATACTTAATAATATAACATACATATTAATTTACGAGTGTTTACAAATTATTATTTTTTTATTTTTATTTTATATTTTATTAATTATTATTTAAAAAATACCTATAATGGGACAAACAATATATTTTTCGTTTCACTCAGAACCTAAAAAATATAAAAAATAAGATGACGATTTATTTGATTTCTTACATGATTTGACCAGTAGAAATGCTCCAATTAACACAATCTTAAGATAACTTTGATAGAAAATGTTGTTTAGTTAGTACTTTGAAAATGGTTCTTCTATGAATTTCCAAAAATTTTCTTAGTAATTGCAACGAATATAATACTGACAAAACTTATAAAAATACGGTTAAATTAATAGCACATCGGTTTTCGAGAAATTGAATTATTGTTTTTTTTTTTTTTTTGTAAATCAAAAAAATAATTATTGTATAGATATGAAGTTTTTTATTGAATGCTTGTATAACCATTAAATATATATGATTATTCTTAAAAATTTAATACAAAGATTTTCATATATCATATGTATAAATGGCCAAAGAAAAAATAATTGAGCTTTAGATCAAAAAAAATGTACACGTGCTTAAATATTATGTGTATTATTTTTTATTGTGTTTTATATATAAAATACTAATACTAAAATACTCTTCATCTGTCCTTGCATTTCGCAAGATCTAGAAGTCTTGCTCCTAGTTTTTATTTTTTATATTTGATGTTTAAATATATATTTAAATATAATAGTGGTTTCTTATGCTGGATAATAATTATTCTCAGCTTTAATTTTACAAGGAAATTCGTGTTGGATATAATATAATTTACTCCAACATAAATTATAGTGTGTAAGAAGTAATATATTACGGTATAATCATCATAATCCTTTGAAGTCAATAATTCTGAGGCATCTACGTAAGATAAAATAAATAGGCGTCAATTAACTCGACTGACAATATTCATCATGAGTATTTCTATCAAGACCTTTACACTTAAAAATCAATTACGAGTACTTTTATTTTCCTCCGCAAATAGTAATGACATAGTAATATTTTACAATGATATAAATTGCACATACACAATCCAACATTTTCATCGGGATAACTCATGATTTAGATCTAAATGTAAACGAAATTCGTGCCATTAAACAAGATACGACAATATTCATGTTTTGTAGATACATTGTCTTAGTGTAATCAAATAAAAACTTATCATACATCAGATGTGTAGTTGTTATTGGATGGGAAATAATGTTTCAAATTTTTAATTTTTAATTTTTATTTCTACAGTGATGTTAATACAAATAAGGGAGGAACGATATTTCTCGGAGGTGTAAGCAAAAAACATATAGACGGTGAAATTACCTACATTCCAGTCACAAGTAAGAACTACTGGCAGATTGAAATGAATCAGTAAGTACTAAATATCGTACGAATCTAACCGAACCTGTGAAGTGGGGCATAATAATATTCTATATTTATTGCATGCAGTCGAACTTTTATGAAATCGCATTGTAGTGTGACTAGCATTGTTGTTGAGACAATATTTTATGAGATATTTATGAAATAAAAGCAATGTATCATAAGTACAATGATTTTCAAAATCTGTATGTGTTCGCAATTCTTGTTATCGCAGTACAGTTTTGTAGTTATTTTTTCAATATTTCAATATAAAATAATATGTAATTTATAGTTTTATACTTTAAAAAATTATACCAAAATAACCTAAAATTAAATAAATAAAATAACCAATATAAACAGTTAAAATTTGTACTGCTCTAAAGTAAAATATAGAAAAATATACTTATCATCCAACTATTTTAATTGAAACTATAAACATTTTCAGAAATTACTTTTATATTTTATAACCCCAATTTATATCATACAAAAAGTTATTTTAAAATCACTATTTTTAATTTTATAATTTAGTTTGAATTAAAATTCAATAGAATATTTTTTAATGACATTAATATCATAAGTAAACTCAAGAAAACTATAATTATTCACAAATATAAAAGTTAACAAGTTCAAAAATATTTAAATTTATATTAACATTAAAGACCTAAATATAAGATGTAGGTTGCTAACTTTAACTGAAAATAGAAAGTTTTTTAATTTATATTCATACTTCTAAGTTTGTTTCCTAAAAGTACCTACTTATAACTTGAATATTTTAATTTGTTGTTTAATATCTTAATGGTTATTTTACAATAAGGTCGGGAATTACACTTTTTGTTCAATTAAAACCATGTTTTTTAAACATATATTTTATTTGGGACTTGATTATATACGAGGTTACTTGAAATAATTATGATAAAAAAAAAAAAAAAAAATTTCAAAACCTTTTTAGTATATACTGGTAATAAGCCGACCTCAGTAAACGATATTCAATTTGAATATTATGATTTGCACTAGTGAATCTCAGGTTCAAAATGTCATACGGGACCATGAAAATATTAAACAGTGGACCAGAAGGCAGAAATATTTACTCGGTGTAGCTGAACCAGCTCCCAATGAATATAACTGTCATAGCGCAGCCATTGGTATTATTATTATAATATATCTGTCTTTGCCGTAACGACGGTATAAAAAACACACTTCACAAATAAACTGTGACCGTAATCATAACAAAATGTGTCCACATGTGATATAGATTTATTATAGTTTTGTATATAACAAAATACAACGGTTTGATTGTACGCGTTGTAGTTTTATTCTCGAAGAAAATATAATCGAAACAAAATGTGACATTTGTGATGAATCGTTAGAAAAAGTACAACACCAGTAATTCGAATGAGAAAATTTAATACCATATTGTATACTTACGATAAAATATATGGCAAAAATTATTGAAAAAATAATTTTGGTTGCATTCAATGACTTTCTGTTAAGATTTTAGATATCAATAAAATTAAAAACTAATATTAAGACGATTTACAACAAATGAGTGTACTGTAACGACAGGCGTACGGTCGTCAACTGTGTGATGTATGGAATATTTTTTTTTATAATACGTACACTAGTGTACGTAAATAATTAAATGGAATTGATGCTCTTAAAAGTTGTGTGTATATATATATATATATATATATATATATAAGTTGTGTACATATAATATATGTATTATGTATTATTTCGATCAGTTTAGAAACATACTATAAAAAAACGTAGAATCACTCAAACTGAATGAGTGGCCTATCCATATAAACTTTGTTTACCCATGACTACATAATTGTAAGTCATTATTTCCCATCAATATTTTTCATTTCAGCAATTTGTGTTTACGAACATTAACCGAAACCATGTTTTATGCGAAATAAAAAACATAACTTTATTCATGAAAACTTATACTAATAATAAATTGGTTAGATGATCATTAGGTTAGGAGGATCATTAGGTTTACTGACCATTCTATATTATTTTACGGCGAAATTTACTATAAAGTGGTACAAGTGTTTATAATAGCAATATCAATGTTTTTCGTTCAGATTTTCAGTCCAGTTGAATAAAACAAATGCAAAAACGTTTTGTAATCCGACGTGTCAAGCAATATTGAGTACGGGTTCAAACAAAATCGGTGTACCCAAAGAACACGTAGCTGCTATTAATACTTTAATTGATGCCGAAGAATACTTCAACAACAGATACGTGGTGAGTAAAATTGCATTTATGTTGGTTCTTATAATATTACATCGCCTGTTGTCGTTTCTCATCGATCACAGACCCATGTTCAAAAGCTGTCAAAAACTGAAAACAGCGTATATAATGTTCATCGGAGATGCAAAAATAATAATAATAATAATAATAATAATAAAGTTTGAATTTAGAACTTATGCACCAACCTAATGTACTTTTAAAATATCGATATCACACTATTGGACTTACATTCAAAATTTGGATATAGGATTGATAACTTCCAACACCAACTAGATTCTATTAAGTGGTCCTTGTTTGTGTTTCCAAATTACTTAGAAGAGGAATTTTTTGGTTAATAAATATGGTAAAGTAAATAGTAAAATATGGGTTTTATTGATTTATATAATTAAAAAATTTTCAGGTATAACATTTGAACTAAAATAGCGAATGTTCAAAAATAATAAAAAAGTAATTCTGAAAAAATTTAAATAGATTAATTAATTTAACTAATATTAAATTTTAATTTATTTAACTAAATTAAATTTAACTCAATTATATTAAACGATTGAAAAATTAAAAATATATTCAAATTATTTTATTTAAAAACTTTATTTGCAAATAGATGCATTTAAATAATACTATCTTACCATCAGTGTTATTCAAAGATAACTAAACATTTATGTAGATAAATATAAAAGATAGATAAAATCTAAAGTATCCAGATAAAGATAAAAGTTAAAACAATATTTATCTGGATAAGAATAAAAATATATCATTTATTTTATTTTATTAATTAATTTAAAATTTTTGTTTTATAAATTTATACTTAAAAACTTTAATTAAATTACAATTTATAAATAATAAGTAATTAGCAAAAAATACATTCTTTGCAGGTATAATTTTATAAAAAAAATTCATTGCAATTTATATAATACATATTATGGAGTAATATTGATGGTTAAAATATTGAAAAGTTATTTCAACCATTGTCTGTAATATTTTAATATCTTTCTTAGTAATCAAATATTGTAAGAGTTATTAGAAAGAATAAACTGAATATTTTTTATTAAATATGTAAACAATTCTTAAAAATAATACTTATAAACACAATTTAAATAATATAACCAAAAATATATTGCAGTAACACCACTTTTAAAATAATATTAATTAATTATAAAGTTAATAAATTAATAATATTAATTAAATTATAATTTCTTTTTATTAATTTTTAACTTTCAAGTTACATTTTTCCAATTATTTTAATAAATATACTCGTATTTATTTATTCAGATGAATTACGATGGATAACTCAACAATTTAAGATAATTTATCAGTTAAATAATTTCGTTTATTATATAGACTAGATAAAATATAACCTATTACTTATCTAAATAATTTATTTAGATTATACTCAACACTATTGACCAAGCATTGTTCTTTATCAATGTTAGACTTGAATATATTATATTATTGTCTTTGTATAAAACTTTTTTACTACCACCGTGAAAATAGAAATGGATAATCTGTATAGAATCTAAAATTCGTTTGAATCAAAATGAAAAATGGCTCAATTTTATTTATATGTATAGAATTAATATGATCGATGTCTATAATTACTATGGTAAACATTTTAATTTTCTTATTTACACTGGTTACCGTATTATCAGAAAAAATTGATTTGGTTAAAAAAATACAACCTGGCGAAATTTGACTATGTTAACATATACATCTTTAATATTGATTCATTACAGTTTTCTTTTCATTTGTATCACTGCGATATAATAGATTAAATATAATAACTTCCATTTATATGTATACATTTTTTTTTTTTTTTTTTTTAATTCAAAAACCAAAGTTGACTCTACAGCAAATATTATTTTGATTAATCATATAAAAACATTTATATTAGTACAAGTATCTAATAAGTGAGATAACTTCATAATAAAGTGTACGAATATGAATTATGATTTGTAATAAGAAATAAGCGTACAGCGAATATAATTTATTATAATTTATCTGCAATATATCGCAAAAGAAAAAGTAGGATGTATAATTTCGCAAACGAAAGATGTTACAAATGTTTTGATGATTGAAGAAAATTATATATTATTTTGTCTAATGGAAGTTATAACATACTTATATTTTTTTATTATACATTTGAATATAATTTAATGTTATGACAGATTGATTTTGATTTAAAATAATAGGTAATTAAATTAGTAATATTTTCATAAGTAATTAATTAAATAATATTATAAACTAAAAACAATATAACCCCGATTGAAAACGAATAGGCACAATTGATTAAATATTTTGAAAATAATGGTCAATATACTGTTAAAATTTTTGGGACAGATTATTATTGTTATTATTTTTGTAATACGCATGAGATGCGATTTTAGTATGCTTGTAATTTTTATATATGATATCACAATTCACAGGTATCCTGTTTACAAGTGAATAAATTGCCAACCATCACATTGAATTTTGGTGGTCGTGATTTCCATATAAGCGGAAGACACTATATACAGAAAGTGAGTATCTACCGCGGTTAATACAAATAATATAATTCTAACATTAACTGTTGTGATTTTAATTCATTGTAGATCGATAATGAAACAAATGGACTGATTTGTATGAGTGTATTCTGTGACTCGAATTTGCCCGGTGGTCTTTGGTCATTGGGTGGTGGATTTTTATCCAGTGTCTACACAACATTTGACTTAGAAAACAATGAAGTTGGATTCGCTAAGTTAAAATGATAGGAAAACAAAACTTTGAATTATTTATGATATTGTAATTGTATTTATTATAAATTCCAAATCGGATAGAATAAAACATTTTAATTTTTATAAGTACATTGTGATAAATAATGGGAATACATTTGTGGAATAATATGATAATAGTATGATGTAATTTAGATTAGGATGTATAACCATAAAATCAAAATACTTGTGTTTGATTTCTGAATTAGAAGTATACGAATGACATAAAGCTCATTTCCAAAGATTTAGGTCACTATTCATATTCAAACAGATAAATAAATAATATTTTAATATTAAATTGAACTATATATATTAGAATCAAATTAAAGGAATATCTGTTTTGATTATAATGAGTAATTAAACCTAAGATGAGTTATTTATTATCTTCATAAGAATTCTTAAAATAACATACCAATAATTTCATTCAAATAATAGAAAAAAATCGATAAAAAAAATTTTTTTTTCATCGACACACATGTATACAAAACCTTTGAAATTACGTTTAATAATTTACAGATATTTTAACACTTTAATTAAATATAACAATAGGTAATACATTTGGATGAAGTTAGAACGCATAAAGTATCAGAGTTCCAATATTATCATAATTTACTCGGAGTTGAAAATACAGCTTAAACTTTTTACATACATTATAAAATGTCTTCCATTGAATCACGTGTGTGCCATGCTAGAGAAATTTAAGGAGGGCAACAGCTGGGTATACCATCTGTCCCAACAACCAGAGACTTTTTAATTTTTTTTTTTTATTATATTACTGATTCTAAATCGTTTTATCAAGTTCCCGTATTAAATGACCACTTAATAATTTCATTCGTACGAAACAAATTTACTTTTAACTACTACTGATTTATTTTTACAATTATCGAGGTAGTATCTGATTTCCTCGCATCACTTAACAAGCAAATAACCCAAAGCATGTAACTACATTGTGTTAATTATGTTGTTTATAAAATCAGTATGTTTGATTTAAAAGAAGCGTGATAGTTTTTTTTTTTATACAAAAACATTGATAAAATAAACTTAATTTAGTATCCCAAAGTAAACTTTTCAAAAAATAAAATTACTCACTACTGTAAAGAATAATGTTATTTAAAACTTGAAAACTTGTTTTAAATAAAAAGGTACACTGCTAGCAAAAAAGCTTTTTGTGGGAACAAACGTTCATTTTCATTTATATTATATAGGCGTACCAGAGTTTTTTGAAACTTTTTTTTATTAGTATGTCCTGTTCAGATGGGAATAACAATGCAATAATCGCTTATTATTAATAAGTTGTTGAGAATAAAAAACTAAAAATAAGTATTCGTATAAATGTTGAATAACTGCGAAAATGCAAAAACGATGGACTATACGAATAATATGGTAAATAATATATTATTTCAATCATAGGTACATCATCGGCAACGGGATAAGTGCAACGTGATATGAATATAATACAATTTGGATTCAGTTCCGTTGAGATTATATGTACAACTGCGGGTGACTATAATTGTTTAACGTATTCACACACCGGTCGGATATTTAACAGTAGCAAGACAATGTTTTGTAGTCACCCAATTGTTTACACACCTAAAATAGAACCATAGATAACAGCTCAGTGATCGATGCCTTGTTCAGATCTACGGACACACATGTGTCCATGACCGAATCTTGAAGTCGTCACAAACGTATGTTGTTTCCTTTGCAATATCCTGGAGAATTAGAATTAATGGGAATCTTGAGCACGGTCGTTTCTTAGCTCATGATGCGACGATCGAAATGTATATTAATAGAGTGCCCAGCCGGTATGTTCCGGCAGGTTATGATACTTGCATTGCAGATTTGATACTTTGTACGTCTTTCGAACGTTAATGAATTTACGATTTTGTTTTGATTATTATTGTTACTATTCATAATTCTATAATTGCCTATAAATGTATTTAGGCTATACGCATGTGCACTAAGAGATTTTTCCTGTGGTTGCATATTTTGAAGACTTATTGTAAAATATTTTTTTATTATATAAGTATATTTATATTATGAATACATTTTTTTCATTAGAATAATTTTTTACATCTCATGTTAGTAGTGAACAGATACACGAATGTCTAAATCATATAATAACGATCAGGAACCATTTAAAAATCAGACATAAAATAATACACACAATTACTCGATCGATTAATATGTGATTTCTTACATATTTCTTAATTTGATTTAAATTTTCATTTGTTGAAATACTCGACTTCGTATAGTACATAAATATTAGCAATTTATACTACTTCATATTTTCTAAATTTAAGATCAAGTGAAAAGAAATTGCATATTATTTAATTTTTATTAATGTATTTTATTTAATTTTTTTTTTCTTTAGTACAGTTTGGGTAGTCATCGCTTTAATACTTGTCTTGTCCACATTATTCCAAATGGACTCGAAATATTATTATTGCTATACGTTACTATTACTATGAAATTATACGTATACAGTATATTCGTGAACGTATTGTAATATAATAGTATATGGAGCGATAAAATCGTATATTTTAATAATTTACGAAACCCTTAAGCAAAATTCTATTGTAATATCATATCGTTCCTTCGTCTCTCAATTCATGATGAAGATCGAATTGTATTAATTAGGATTACGAGCATCATGTTGAGAACGTGTTATTTGAATGCACGAGAATGGGTTTTGCGTTAAATATTGCGTTATAAATTCTACGCGACTGCCGAATATCCGAAGTCGCGAATAAATTATCGTACATTTATGGAGGCATAGGTATATACATTTTACTCGTTACACGCGTAACATGTCGTTTTTCAAAATGTTTGTTTTAATATAACGAATTTATGGACACATACGTTAAAGTGTTATACGAAAATACGTTACTCGTTATGTTTTTTTTAATCATAAATTATTGCTCATAGTTATTCATAATTACGTATGTATATTTTCAAAACACAGATTTTTGTATCTTAATGTATGGCAGTAATTGATGCGTACTCATAGATCACCCTTATAGATGGGCATATTATGCATTATCATACGGCAAGGGTTTTTAAACATTGTAAATTATGTGTTCCCATGTAAAATGAATGAAAAAAAAATATTAATTTCTTTTTTTAATCTGCTTGATTTCAGTTTTTGAGATAAAACTATTTAAACAAGTTGATTGCCTTATGTGTGTTTCCAACCAATATAAACGTTATGAGTAGCTTTATATATGATCATACTGTACAATTGTGTGAGTATCAATGTGTACGTTAAAATCGTAAAAAAAAATGTAGCACTCATTGTATGAATTCAACATTCTACGATTGGCAAAACTTCAATAACTGATTCAAATGTTTAATACTATTAAGTTATTTTAATTTTAATTAAATTACGAATACTAAAAACTCACGTTTGAAAAGGCTATATTCCTTCATAATCCGTTTATGTTTAAATAATTATTTTTAATATACCAGATTATTTTTTCACATACACATTTTATTTAAGTTGATAAACATTGTTTACTTCCTCGTAATAATGTTCCTTATGTGATTATCATTAACGTGATAACTCATATTACAATTATCAAATTACTTTTTCAAGATAATTGATACTTTTTTCCGAGTCCTAAGATTTGAGGTTTTGTGACTCAAATTTATGTTTAAAATAAATTATTTTAATTATAAAAGTTTTATATAAATAATTTTATGGAATATATGCATTTTAATAAACCAGATCTACTTAAATTATATATAATTGTTTATAGAAATTAATAGTCCATATAATTATATAGAAATTAAATATTTATCAGTAAGTAAATATAATGCTTTTAATAATTGTTAATAAACATCCCGAGAATTATTTTTTTTAATTATTATCATCGTTCAAACTTCGAAACAATGTTGATTTTTGAAGAAATATACTCAACGATATTTGGTAAGATGAAAAAACTGATTATCATAACTTCTAGGTTTAATATTTAGGTAAAGATTCCAAATTTCATCTCTTTTATTTATATTATCGTGTAACAATGTAACAAAATTATTCCACGAACAGTTTAATAATCTAACTGAACTTTTAAGTACGAAAAAAGAAATTATTGACGATATAGATTTAACGTTTAATTAATATAAAAAGCAAGTTAATTTTAATTAAAAAATTTTTTATTTTTAGTTATACTGAGACGTGAATCTAAGAGGTCAGTAAGGGAATCTCGTCCCCTCCCCCTTTTAACATGTGGTTTATTGTATAAATGTAAAATAAATACTGATAAGGAATATCTTTACTTGAAGATTGGCCAAAAAGCTAATTAAAATATTAATTTTCTTATTTATCATTTTAATATGTGTTATTGCTTGTATACCTATAAATACCTATAATATCGTATTTATTAATATACGAATTAATTAATATTTATTTCTGTAAATAAAATCTAGATCCCCTTCATTTTATATTTATAGATCCACCTCTGGTTATGCTAATGAAGTAATAAATTGATCTCTACTTGAAATTTGCTTTGTTTGCAATAAAATTTATAAAAATATATTATATTTAAACTTTTTTTTTTTTTGTTACATTTTTATTCATTGTTAGAGGTCGATAGTTATTTATACATACTTGTATCTATCAATATATATTTTATTGTTCTAATAACATTAATCTAAAAATTTGCGTATGTAAAATAATAACAATAATAATAAATGACAATTATAAATAATTACTTTAAGTACAGAAAAATCAATTTGAACGAATACATTATAGAGAGCACATGAAAGAACATAAATCAAACTCGTTATAAATCTTTGCCGTTATTACGCTTGCTTTAAGCATTACAGCTTTAAGTAGATTATATGCTTCGTATGTAGCTTAGTGCACCGTAACCATATTTTCCTGCGAAAGCTATTGTCGAAATGACGAACCAAATATTGTAATTTTTTTTCAATTCCGTTACAAATATTTTTTTCGGTTGTGACGTAAAAAGAACGACCGTTTGATCAAATTAATGCAATTCAATATAACATATCTAGTCATATAAAGTATTCGAATAATTTTTTTGTATTCGAATACTATTTCAAATACTTTTCATAGAAAGTATTCAAATACATATTCTGAATACTTTTTTTTTGTATTTTTATTCACTGTAAAAATATTTTTTTTCCGAACTTATAAAATAGTTTCAAATTGGGACAATACTGCAGTTTTTAAATTTTAAATCTTAGATTTTATACGTTATATAATTATGAACAATAGTTTTTCT